TTGGTCCAGAGATTGTTCAACAAACTACTGGAAAGGTGAAAATGATTCAAGAAAATATGAAAGCATCGTAGAGTAGGCAAAAGAGTTACCATGATAAGAGGAGGAAGGATCTGGAATTTGTGGAGGGTGACCATATATTCTTGAGATTAAATCTTGTGACTTGTGTTGGATGTACACTGAAATCGAAGAAGCTTACCCCTAAATTTATTGGGTCGTATCAAATTTCTCAGAGAGTTGGACCTGTTGCTTATGGAGTGGCTCTGCCACCCAATCTTTTGAATTTGCATAACGTGTTTCATGTGTCACAGCTTCGGAAACATATTCCCGATCCATCTCATGTGATTCAGATGGATGAAGTACAAATTAGAGACAATCTTGCAGTTGAAGCATTGCCAGTGGGGATTGAAGACTTAAATATAAAGGTATTGAGAGGTGAGGAGATTGCTCTATTAAAGGTAGTTTGGGGTGGAGCTTCTAGAGGTAACATGACTTGGGAGGTAGAAAGTCGGATGCGAGAGTCATATCTGGAGTTGTTTCTTTCAGGTATATTTTTGAGGATGAAAATAATCTAAGTGGGGGAGAGTTGTAACACCCCATTTAAATTATTTAATTCATAGAGTATTATGTTATTATTATTGTATGTTTTGTAGTTGTGTGGGGGAAGATCTTCGGGTGTAGGGTAGTTTCCTTATATTAATTGAGTTCTATAGGGTTGGATTTAATTAACTGTAGAGTGATATAATTCAAGTGTTAGATCGTGAGAAGTGGGGTTGTGAAACAAAATGTTGAGAGACATAGGGGTGTAAGAGAAGAGGAGAAATTAATAGTAATAACAATAATATAACTTTATAAGATATAATAATAATAAAATTTGACATTGTTTGTATTTTAAAATATTAGATTATATTTGTAGTATTATAGATATTGTAATTATTATTAAATATTAGATTTTTGTTGTTATTAGAATAATAACAATAATAATAATAATAATAATAATAATAATAATAGATTTAGTTGGAAAGTTATAAAAAGATAATACAGAGAAGAGATAAGAGGTTTTTCAGTTATGTGGAAAAGAAAGGAGAAAGAGAAGAACCAAGGGAAGAGAGAGCTAGGACAAAGGAGTCTTGCAAGAGAATAACCATTGTTACAAAATATAAGAAAAATCAAAGGTAGGGGGGATTTCTATTCTAGCAAGGGTGATTTTAACATGAGAGGGTAGGGAGGGTTCTTCCCTCTTAGATTTTGTGAATTGCATGATTTTGGATTGAATTGATGCTTGTTTGTGTGAAATTAAATTTGTTGATGTTTCTTGATGATTAGTGATGTTATAATGATTGTTATTGTGTAAATTGCAATGGTTGGGTATGCTAGACTTTTTTTTCAAGATGAACATTTTTCATGATGAACATGGTATGAAAGTTTGCAATATGTTGTGAATGTTTGTGATTATGGAAGGAGTATTATATGATGATCATGAATGTTTAGAGAACACTACAATGCAGTATTTTTGGTGTAAAGGGAAATTTTTTGGACATTTGCAATTGGTTAATTCGTATTGAAACGGAAGAGAAATTTTAACAAAATAACAATTTTTCAGAATTGCATGCATGTATGATTTTTAACATAACTTTTGACTCGTAAAACATTTTTTAGTGGGGTTTGAAGGGTGATTTAGCTTACTCGGTAAGCTATAACTTTGTTTCTAAAAGTTTTCTGTTTTGACATTTTTATCTGACAGTGATTGCATATGGGAAAGAAGGGTTTCCTAAAATGTTTTATAAATAATATTTTTTATGATAATTGGATTTATGCATATGAATGATCAAACTAATGTATCTATTGACGTTGATGGTAGTCCAAAAGGGTGGACTATGGAGTTCACGCTTGTACTCTAGTGATCAATTGTGGATCACATATTATTAATACGATGACTTGTGTTGTTTGCATAAAACATGTCGTGCATTCATGTTGTTGTTTTGGTGGAGATAGATTTTATGTTCGAATGGGGACATAAGGTCTATCCGGAACTTTGAAGGGGGAGTTCAGAATTCCGAATGGGAAATTGGATTCTTGTAAAGAATCATTGATGATAAAATGGTACCATATGCATTGAGTCAAGTAATAGTGTCTCGTTGCATCATAATTTGGGTGTTAGTGTATTGCGGTGTGAATTGTGAATTATCAAAGTGTGATTTGTAATAATCAATTATGATACTACTCCTTAGCATGTTTTAACATCGATTATCATTTGAATACGAATCTCACCCCTTTTGTGTTTGTAGGTTTGTGCTCTTCGGAGTACAGATAAGCATGTATCTGAGTAATTGGAGAAGTACCATTATGTTGCTATCGGTCGCGTCTATTAGAAGAGTCGTTATGATACGTAACACTGGGAGTCGGGGTTGTTTTTAATTATGTTTGTTTTACGTGCCTTTTGTTGTTTTAAATTTTTGTTTGGACCACAAGCGGTGTGGATAACCTTGTTGAGGCCTTGGTGCCATTAAAATTGTTTTCGTTGAATTGAGAATTATGTTTTAATATGTGTATGAGGTGATTTTTGTACTTCATAGTTTGGGGGATGTGACATCCTAATTGAATAATTTTTTTATTTAATTTATAATTATTATAATGGAAAATAGGATGTTACATCAATGACATCACCGGAGTGGACAGCATCAAGGAAAAATGAAACTTGATTTAGTCATTTTTTGGATAGGATGTAAGAATTCACCAAGTGTAGTGACATCGAAAAAGAGACAAATAAACAACAGTCAAATGTGCAATCATCCATACATATAGATTTAGACAGTGACACGTGTTTCGATTCATTTTAGTTTTTATTCACCAGTGTGTTTATGTAGTTAGACTTGTTTTGTATATAATCTTGTATTAATATCAATAATGTCAAATGTATATATTTTCATAGATTTTAATGTATGTTTTAGTTTTCAAAAGTTTTCACAAATTCCTTATCCTAAAACAGGTTATGTGTGAGCACTGTAGGGTCATTCCGAAAATGCATCTCCGAACATACCCCAAATGTTTAAAAGAAAATACGACAAAGATTTATCCATAAATGTATTTCTGAATACACCCTAATTTCACACATTTTACTAAATGAAATAGGGTGCATGCGAAAATGCATTTTTGGATACACCCTAATTTAACACATTTTACTAAACGAACGTATCCGAAAATGTATTTTCAGAATATCTCCTGAGACGATCATGTTTCTAAGGTCCATATTAGCCTAAAACTTGTATAAATATGGGTCTCTCATGTCATCTTTTTAACAAATTTACATCACACCAGAATGAGTATATATTGGCATGTCGAAATTGCCTACTTCAATGGTGTGAAGGTCTCACTTGATTTTAAGGTCACTCAGTACACCTCTCTTGTAGATCTTAAATTTATACAAGAAAATCTCCTAGAATACTCATTCAATCATAAAGTTTAAAATTTGAGCATCATTCACCCTTAACTGATAACGAAGGAAAGATTCAGTTCAACAAGTTTGAGTTGAAGACAGATGAATATTAAAGGGTTATGTAGTGTACGTTTCATTGTCACGAACCAACAGGTTTGATCGAGTTAGATGCGAAGGTCGCAAGATCGACGAAAGATATTTTAAAGATGTTGAAATGTCATACTTGATGATGGAGTGTATTGTTCGTTTATGTAATATTTCGTTTTTTTTATGTATGTCATAATAATTATTGATCTTAATTTATCTCTGTTTTGCTTCTACTCGTGGTTCATTAGGATCTAAAAATACATCTACATAAAGTATACGGATATGTATTTCTAAATTAAATTTAATTATGGAATATGAACATGACTTAAAAAAGAAAGAATTCTGCATGAATGAAATAAGTCTAAAGATGCATTTTCGAATTCTAAAAATAATTTTGATTTTTTATTTGGCTCAAAATCGAAAAAATTCTGTGAGAATGAAATACGTCTAAAGATGCATTCGAATTCTAAAAATAATTTTGATTTTCCATTAAAGTAGGGACGCATAGGATGAAAAAAGCAATTGCCCAAACTTATGCACATAAAGCAAGTCATTGGATAAACATTGGTCTAATTGTACTGATTTTTTTTTACGTTCTATTCATAGATTTTTCTGAAAGGATCCAAAGGAACCTCACAGCTTGTGTTGTTATTTATTTTATTTTTTTCTCATTTTCATGATACAACTCTAATACTAAGGGCTTCCAACATGAGAATGGGAAAAAATTGGTAATTTTCAGATATAAGGAATATATCCTAAATAAGCCTAAACAAAGTGATCAAGTTTACATTCAAGATATCTCTTGTCATTACCCATACATAAGAGTTTAGTTGTGAACAGCAATGGTAAATTTGGTAACTCCAAAACAATTTGCTGTGAACAACAAAGTGATCAAGTTTACATTCCAGATATTTCTTGATCATGTTCACCAAATGGTTTAATTGCTGTGCAGCACTCATCCAGTAATTGATCATTAACCTCATATAATATATACACCTTATACATCTTGAACAATTCCAATTACTAGTATAATAACAAAAAGAATTTTTTTAAAAGAATAATAGATAGATAATATGCAAGATTATCGCACTGAAGATGATCTTTTAAAAAAAATTCTTTATGTACAAGAGAACAATCAACACAACGCATAAAAGCTGCACTGCACTTATAGAACAATCGAGGTTGAAAATAGGCATTGAATGAAGCACGAGAGAACTTCCAACAATAAGTTATGTACAAGAGAACATTGTCCAACGACCAACCATATGAGAGGATGCTCATATTACATGTAAAATCCAAGTATAAATCAACCAACAAATTAATTTCAATTTCAAATGAAAAGGAATAAAAGAACACTGCACAATACATACACCCCTTTTCCAGCAAGAAAAATAGGGGGAGAAAAAACAGTTAAAAAATCGTTGTATTTTAGTGTTAACTATAAAATTCAGTTGGTGCTCCCAAGTTTGAAAATGGAGAACTAATCTCCCACTTGTGTACTTGAAATACATCTCCATGGTCTTGCATGTGTTCTTTTGTCAAGGAGCAGCAGCAAGCCCATACTGTCAGCCGGTAGCCCGAACATATACCTACAGCAGTCACAAGCATTTCAGATGATGAACATTTTTGCAAACTAAAATACAAAAACTATTTTCTTCTCAAGCATCATCATTCTAAGAAATATACATGGCAAACATTTCATTTGGTTGAATTTCATATAACAAGATATTGTCCAACACTCTCTAACACATTGTTCTATTGGTTGAAAATCATGAATGTGTTGTTAGAAATTTTCTATGAAATATTATAGCATAACTAACAGACGTCATCAAACTGAACGTAGGTGATATTTTTATAGGGTAGTTTCGACGGGCATCTGTTTTGTTTTAAACCAGGAAGCATAATTAACATACAACCTCTCACAGTGAAATTGCTATTTAAATATTATGTCAATGCTTTGATGGAACTGCATCAATATGGAATAGCAAATTCTAAAAAACCATCAAAGAAGTTCCATATCAAGGAAGTATATAGTAAGAGTTTTTTCTTTTAAAACTAACAGACTTGATGTCGCTTGTGTTAGAAAGCGGAAACTAATTTATATAGAGAATATGATACACACTTTGAAAGTCAAAGCCAAATTGTGAGAAAAAAAATTGTAAAATCATTGATTTTGTGCGATCTTTGCCAATTTCGGGCATGATTGGTCATTTTCCGGCCACCACCATTAAAAGTGAGGGATGACAAGATGCAGAGGCACAACAATTACTGTTCAGCAAATAAACATCTTACTTGTAGGGTTTGTTTTAACTAGTTGACTTATGATAATCCTAGTAATTGACCAAATATGTCCCTAATGTCTAACAAATGTTCCATGTGGTAGGAATGAAGTATAAAAATGCAATCAAACATGTCTAAAGAATATGAAAGAGCCATTTTGTCACGGACACACTTGCCTACTAACATATATCATGTAAAAATACTTTAAATATATACTATTATTTTTACATTTTAGTAGGATGTTAAGATTTTTGTTGCAATCTCATGTTTTACGATCTTGTTACCCCCTCACGATCTTACAAAAATAATTGGATAGTATCTTCCGATCTTAGCTACGATTTTACATTTTACGATCTTGCTATTCTCTCTCGATCTTATGTAAGATCTCGATCTTGACAACCTTGTTTAGAAGGCAATGGTGAGTGAGCCTTAAAAGATAACCTTCGATGACATGGCTGAATGTTTAATATTTTATTGTAGGAGTTATACTTTCTCTTAGAAATAACTTATAAGCATAGGCCACTAGAGTTCAAAAGAACTACCTTCTCTATAAAAAGATTTTGATGGTAAATTCGTTGTGAGAATGACATGTTATTTTTCCCTCACTTTACTAGACTACACAGCTATTAACAATGACAAAATTACAAACAATTTTGTGATAAAGTATATTCTAAGTTATCAAGGAAAAAAAATGTTACAGTCACTTACTTGCTTTCATGAGCTTTCTTTCTCCAAAAAACAATTGATGTGATCCACTGAACACAAAAAAGATGAAATCGTGTGAGTTCCATTTTAAAATCTCTAAATGAAATGTAATTACTGTATCAGTTATTAAATAAGTAGAAAACTGCATGCATTGCCAGATGAGACACAAACAAGATGAGACACAAACAGTAGATCAGAGTATTTTTTGTATACAAAGGTAAAGCCTACAGTAACCAACAAAATGTTACATGTAAGGAAATTGAGGCCTCAGAGAGAACAAAGGGAGAAACAGTCAACATCAATTATTTCTGATGTTAAATAACACTTTTTTTTTCATTCATTTCCTTCATAATTTATCCTGCAATTAAGGCATGCTTGTAAAATTAGAAACAAAAAGTTAGTTTGTAAAACTAGAAACAAAAAGTTAGTTTGCAGAAAGGCAGACAATGATAAGAAGAATGATGAAAAATATCATCTCAAAGCAAACTTGAGATACAACTTAAAAGATAGATAAATTAAATAGGACATGTCTGTCCCAGACTCCCAGTATTAAATAAATAGCAGAAACATGTGCATCTTATTGATAATAACTAGTTTGATTTATTAAATACCTTAAAAATTGAAAATAATGGAGATCTTGCAGTAATATATGGTTTGTTTGTAGTCATTTTTCTTTGCGGTGTCATCTCTTTGCACAAATGCTGAGCTATTTCCTTTAGTAACACAACCTGTGCTTTATCTGTGCTCATTGAAATGATTGCCTGCCTCATTGATTCCCTATCAGCCTCAAGTGCCTGAAGCCTCATATAAAGCTTCTTTATATAGGGATCCTCAAAATCAGCCTGATGATTCCCTGATTCCTTTGGAATGGTTGTGTAATCTTCGAAAGATCCATGTTTGGAACCTGTAAAGCCATTATTCTCTGCCCCAGAATGAACAGAGTCAATTGTATAAATTCGGTCACTCGTATCATCACCTTCTGAAGCATTATCTACCTTCTTCAAATTGGAATGATCCTCTGGCTGAGAAAAATAATCTTTCTTAGAGTTGCTATTGTTCTTCGGAGATTCTGGAGGGAACTCAAGACCTGTTTCAGAGGAAACTTTCCTCGAATGCCTCCTCGTCAAACTTGGAGACGGCCCGACAACTACTTTCTCTAGAACATTTTTTCCCGTAAAATCCCCATCCACCTGGCTGTAAGTGGGACTTTTCTCCATTTTAGAAATTCTATTCTCCAAGCTCCTCAAACGGTCGTTAGGAGTATCACCAAATACATATTTCTCAACATCAGTATCGTCATTATCACCATCAATGCCATTATGCATGACATTACATTTTAAAGGAGGGTATTCATAAGGAGGAATGTCGTATTGATCACCCTCAACCTCATCCTCAGAGTACCCGAAACTCATCATCCTGTGCTTGTAAGCCTGAACCTCACACGTAAGCGACTGAATTATCTGCTCTCTCTTATACAACAAATCCTCCAATGACATAAGTTCCTCCTGATCATGCATCATTTTCTCCTCCGCAAAACGCTTGAACTGCCTAGCTTCCATTTGAATCTCTGCCTTTTCCCTCTGCAACCTCAAGATCATCGACATCGCCTCATTCGCAGCTGTGGACGAAGAATTTCTCTCCTCCTCCAACTCCTCATTCATATCTTGAATAGTTTTCTGCTGCACGCTAACCATCTCACGTAAAGCTATACATTCATTCCCAATATCAACCCGCGCAACCGATAACTGGCCATCCATCTTAACTTCATCTAGCTTCCGTTTGACCGAACGCATCCAAGTCCCAGAATATTGATCCACCATAGAACAACAACTACACGCACAATCGCAACATTTCAACAAATCCCTAGAAGATGGAACAGCCTCCAAATCCATAGATCAAAATCCAATAAACACTCAAAACCTTTGAACGAGAAATGAAAAATGACAAATCAGGTAACAAAACAAAAACCTTGAATTATGATTATTCTAATTTCCTTTCCAACCATCAACCATTCTCACTCCCTGCGTTCATGTCGCCACCAAAAAAAATTATACCTAAAACCAAAAATAATAAATAATAATAATCAACAAAAATATTTTCACAATAATGCAATTCCAAATATACTACAAACTTTTCATCAAAAAAAGTACAAAATAAACATTTGATTCTCTTAAATCTCACCTCATACACGAAAAACCTAACAGAAGAAAAATTCTACCAACGAAAATTGAAATTATAAAATAAAGAAACTCACCGTGAACGAGAAGCAGCCGTCGAATCAAAAGCACCCGGCGGCGAAAGAGACGCCGGGAGCGGAAAACGGTAATCGATTTTCCCCCAAAAAGATCAGTCAAGCCAGAAAAAAAGATTACCAAATAAAAAAAATATAAAAAATATAAAAATAGCAGTAGCTACGAATTGGAGAAAACTCGAAAACGGTGAAATTAAAGTTTTCTTGGAAAGAAAGTATATGAATGAAGGAGCGGGAACGTTGTTTGGTGGGAACGAAAATTGAAGGAAGAAAATTGAAGGAAGAAAATAAGTATGAGATTTTTATTATTTGAAAGCCCTAATTATTTTTTTCCTTGGGAATGGTTGTTTTTAGGATTTTTGTTTTTTATCAAGAATTTTCGTATTATGTTTTTTTATTCGGTAAGATGAACGGTGGAGAATGGATGATTGAAGGAGTGATCTGGTTTCTATAGAGAGAACTAATTTGCTGGAATTATTAACATTTTTACAACTATTTTTTGACTATTTAAATTTTCTTTTCTTTTTAAATATATTAGTATTTTTTATTGTCTGGAAAATCGTCAAATTCCATTTGATTTTGAAATTTGAAATATATTTTTGGTATGAGTAAGAATGTTGATTTTGTATAAAGAACTCTTGTTTCGACTTTTCGGAATTATGATTAAAAGAATATTGGATGTTAAAATTTATTTTTAAATTAGATTAATCAATTCAGTAGATTAAATATTAATTGTGAAAATTTAAAAAAAAAATTAAATTGCTTTTGTTTTATTTTGAAATGAAAGAAATGGATAATTGTTTTTGAGAATTAAAGTTTGTTCAAACTTTTTTTCCTGAAAAAGTTTATTCAAAGTTAAGTTTGTAAACCATGGGACTTTTGGAGACTTTCAATTCAAAACATGGGATTCATGATTACAGTGAGCTCAACGTGCAGTGTATGAAGCTCGTGATCTACTTTTTAATTCAATGATATATTTATTTCTACTTAACTAATTAAAATTGAGAACATATAAAAGTTGAAAAAAATATTCTACAAACAAGATTTAGGGGGAAAAAAATTAAAACCTCACATTTTCCATTTAATCACCAAAAAAAAATTATAAAAAAATGTTGTACCAAAGTAAATATTGACTCATGTTACATTGAATAGTAAAAAAAAATAGTGAATTATTATAAAGTGTTATATATGTATTTGTTTCTATAAATTTTGAAATTTATCTTTTTTATCTCCAAAAAGAAAAACATTTTTTAATTCTTCAAAATTGTGAATTATATCAAGTTAATGCTTTTAAGTTTTTAAATAGTTTTCATAGATGTTATGAAAAAAATCACAAAAATTTGATTTTATTTATTTAAAATCAATGTTAAATACCATTTTTCGTCTTTTTTTATATTTTTAACTTAAAAAAAGATATCAATTTGATCATTTGATTCTTTATATTGTTGAGATTGTATTTTTTTGTGTCGAAGCAGTGTAACTCAACAGAAACAATGATCAGTCAAATTAGTCTAATGAGTGTGTGTGTCGAGTTGCTTAGATGTCGAAGTGGCGAAGCAAGTTGTTTGACACAGAATTTTAACTTACACCAAAAATTGTAATTTTTGAGCTTTTGTGTTTTTGGGCTTCCTTCTATTATAAATAAAGGGAGTAACTCCTATTTTATAATAACTTGTATTCACAAACTTTTTGCAGTTGCGAAGTGAATAAAGAAGTTTTCCACGGTTTGCGGGTGGAGATTTCGTAGTTGAAAATTATTCCCTTCTTCCTTTAATTTTGTCAAAATCTTTCTTTCTTTCTCGTTTTTCATTAACTGCTGCTACGCATAATCTTTCTTGAAATCAAGATTGATTAGGAATTCTCAAAAGGTTTTTTGGTTAATTTCAATATCTGGTATCTAGAGCTCCGGTTGTGATTCGTGGGAAGAAAATCACGATGGCGTTGAATCATCCAAATAGACATTTTTCGACAAACCTTCCAATTCTCAAGAACAATAATTATGAGAGTTGGTGCAAGCAGATAAATGTGATTTTCTATTATCAAGATCTTTGGGATCTTGTGAAGGGAGGAGTAGCACCACTTGTAAAAAACGCAACGGATCAAGAAAAGGCTGCATACAAATAATTGAAGAAGAAAGATTATAAAACTCTCTTTATAATCCATCAATGTGTTGATCCAGATTACTTTGAAAAGGTTGGTGATGCAGAATCAGCAAAAGAAGTATAGGAAATCTTTGAGAAATCGTTTAGAGGCGTAGAAAAGGTGAAAAGGGTGAAGTTATAAACTCACAAAATGACGTATGAATTGCTTTAAATGGAAGAAAGTGAAAGCATGATTGATTTCTTCACTAGGGTTACTAAACTGGTGAATCAAATTAAGGTATATAGAAAAGTGTTGGCATCAAGATCAGTTATTGCAAAGATCTTGAGTTCATTGGCTCCAAAGTTCGACCACGTGGTAGTAGTCATATAAGAGTCGAAAGACTTGTCAGTGTTGACCAAGGAAGAGCTTCAAGGGGCACTTGAGTCTCATGAACAAAGGATGGTTAAAAGAGTTACAGGAAAGTCGAAGAGTGATATGGCTTTGCAGGCGTAGTCATAAAAAGAAAAGAAAGACAAAGGAAGTTGGAATGGCAACAAAGGCAGAGGAGGCTACAACAATTCAACTGGTCGAAATCAGCAGGAAGAAAACTGGTCGAACTAGAGAAAACCCTGGAACCAGGGCAACCAAAGAGGTGATGCTGCAAGTAGAGGAAGAGGTGGTGGTTAAAAACCTGACAAAAGTCGCATTAAGTGTTACAATTGTCAGAAGTACGGTCACTATTTTAGTGATTGTCCAGAAAAGAAGAAGAATCAAGAAACTGATGCAAAGCTGGCGAAACATGAAGAAGAAGAGATGTTGCTGATGGTCACACAAAAATATGAAGAAATATTTTAGGACCAATGGTACTTAGACTCAGGATGCTCATCACACATGACTGGTAGGAAAGATTGGTTTGTCAACATAAGGCCCTCGATGAAGATTTTGGTGAAATTTGCAAATGACAATACTCTAACAGTTGAAAGTATTGGTGGTGTTCTGATTATGAAGAAAGATGACAAAAGGTCAGTAATTTTCAATATGTTGTACATACCAGCAAACCCGGCCCAAAGGTAAGGCAACCAAGGTCTTTTCCTTAGGCCTCCAATTTTTCCTCTTTATTTAACCCTACTTTATAAATCATTTGAATAAGTTGAATACTTGTATTTTTATGTAATATCTACTTACCTTATTATGAATTATGCACACAACTTATGAGAAATATAAAAAAAAACTTTATTACTTAATAAAAGCTAATAAAAACCGTGAAGAAAAATAATTGAAATACACACTACAAATAAAAGCTAAACATTAATACTTTGAAGAGAGGGGACATCGTTCTTTTTTACCATCATGATATAGCATCATTAAAATTATCAAAATTATGCTTAAAATTAACATATTTCAACTCGAATAAAACTAAATAAATTGACTTTCTATTGATTAAAAAATAATTATTAAATTAAATAAATTATAATAGTTTAGTAAATAATTTTAAACTTTAAAAAGCCTAAAAAGTGTAAATAAAAATGTATTACTTTTATTAAAATATGATTATTGTTTTAAAATATTAATTAAAAAAAATTATTTTAAAATCCGCCTCAGGCCTCTATATCTCTTGGGTTGGCCCTGCAAACTAGGTATGAAGAGCAATTTGCTCAGCATTGGCTAGTTGGTCGAAAAGAACTACAAAGTGTCGATCAAAGACAAGATGATGAGAGTTATCGACTCAGGAGGAAGGTTAATCTTGAAGGCTCTTATGTCTCAAAATAGAACCTTCAAGATTAAGTTTAATGTGATGGAGTATAAGTGTCTTGCAACTGCAGCTAGTAGAGATGAATGGATATGGCATTATCGACTTGGCCATCTTAATTTCAAAGACATAAAAGATTTGGTGAGAAGAAATATGGTTTCAGGATTACCAAAAATCGACATTCCAAACGAAGTGTGAAGAATATGTTTAGGCGAAGTAGCAAAAGAACAACTTCAGTAAAAATGCAGGAAGCAAGTCGAAGGAAATTCTTGAAGTCATATACTCTGATGTATGTTATCATATCCAGGCAGATTCGATTGGAGGTAACATATACTTTGTCACGTTCATAGATTATTTCAGTCGAAATTTGTGGACTTACCTGATCAAGAAGAAAAGTGAAGTGATCGAGGTATTTACCAAATTTAAATCTATGGTCGAAAGATAAAGTGGTCGAAAGCTAAAGATTTCAAGGACTGATGGTGGTGGAGAGTATGTGTCAAAAGATTTCGATACATTATATGAGAAAGAAGGGATTGTGCATGAGGTGGTGTCACCCTACACTTCACAGCAGAATGGAGCTATAGAAAGAAAGAATATAACCATCATGAATATGGTGAGAAGTATGTTGAAAGGAAAGCATCTACCGAAAGAATTATGGGGAGAAGTTGTGTCGTCTGCAACATACATCTTGAATAGATGTCCAACCAAAAATCTAGAAGGAATCATTCCAGAAGAATGTTGGTCTGGTGTCAAGCCTAGCCTAAGTCATTTGAAGGTGTTTGGATCTATAGCATATAGATACGTGCTAG